GACCCCTGTGAAAGGGTCGTTTGACCCCCAGAGGAGGTCAGACCCACAGGTTGAGAACCGTGCCTTAGTGTAACATCTCATCCCATCTCTTACCTGTGTCTCCTTTCCATTCCTTCTTCCCGACCTCTCTGAACGTTGTCGTTGGGAAATGCTGCCCGATTGATCAAAGGACTGATTATTCTAGATGTGCAAATATCTCTAGTGTTAATGCGCTACCCACCTCCTCATTCCTCCAGCCTCATACCTGTCTGTTGTTTGGCTGGAATTTGAGCCATGCGGGTGAGTTCATTTCCAGACCTGATGGATGATTAAGAACCACAGTCTCAGGCATTCTACCTGTCTCCTCTGACCAGTAAGCCTGGTCTGTTTTATGATTTTGAGTTTTGTGTCACATTTTCCTCCCACTCTGCAGAGGGCCTTCTCATGAGATATCTTTCAGAGCTATTGCTAGCGGCAGCTGGGCACCATCTAGTTCTTCTGGTTTCAGGTTGTGGAGGCTGATGTCTGTGTGGTCCTTTCGTCGACTGGGCTAGTTATTTCCATTCCACGTGCCTTTTCAGTTCACCACTCTTCTCTCCTCTGGTCAGGGAGAGACCAATATTTCCATCTTGGATGGCCTCATTCATTTTTAAGGTCCAGTCACACTACACCGAATTAGGAAGACCGAGAAGAATCGATGTATTTGGACTGTGGTGCTGGACATTGAAAGCAGCATGGACTGCTGAAAGGACAAACTGACCCGCCTGGCCGACGTGCAGCCAGAGTGCTCCTTAGAGGCAAGGGTGGCGAGCACTTTGGACGGATTGTTGAGAGAGCACGGTTCCCAGAGTAGGACGTCACCGTGGTAAAGTAGAGGACCGGGTAAAAGAGGAAGGCCCTCAAGGAGATGGGTTGGCACCGTGGCTGCCACTATGGGCTCAGGCGTAGGAACAAGTGTGAGGGTGGCACGGGACCGTCGGTGTTTCCTTCTGTTGTGCATCGGGTCGCTGTGGGTCAGACTGACTGGATGGCCGGTCACATCAACAGTCACACTACTCACCGAAGTAGAGTGTAGAACTTTCTCTCTGTGTGGACGAGGCGATGCCGTGGTCTTGAAGCCCCCAGGCTCAGAGATTGTACCCATGAGGTATGTGATTATCTCAAACACGTTTTTATAACTTTGCTCCCTGTATGCGCCACTACATTCATGAGTTACATTTGAAGCAAAATACAAATGCCCTCTGTCAAACCTACTTATATTTGTGGGTATATGTCCACTCTCTCCTCCTGGCCTACACCTATTCAGCCTGAATGCCTACCTGTGAATTTGCTCATAGATGACTGTTACTGTACGATTGTGTATATAACAATATCAACTTCTGTTGCCTTTCATTCTTAGAACCCTCGTGGTACTTGCCAGGTAAGAGTTGGGTTGCTAATCAAAGGTGGGGGGTTCAAACCTACCAGTCACTTCTTAGAAGGAAGATGAGGTTACCTGCTACCGTAAAGATTTCTAATCTCAGAGGTTGTTAAGGGACTGTTTTGCTGGTTGTGTAATTCTTGGTTGGCAGTATTTTTCTTTGGGAGTTTTATATCTGTCCTCTCGTTGCTTTCTTGCCTGCATGTTTTTTGCTGAGAAATCATAGCGTATTGTGCTCCTTTGTGGGGAACTTTCTGTGGTTTCTGAGCTGTTCTCACCATTCTTTTCTTGTCTTAGGTTTTGAAAAGTTTGATTATGATATGCCTTGATTTTCTTTTAGGGTCTATCCTGTTTGAGGGTTGGTCAGTTTCTTGAACTCATTTTTGTGTTTCATGATATTGGGGAATTTTTCCCAACAATTTTGCAACAGTTTTCTCCATGCTTCTTGTGTGTGTGTGTTCCCTTCTGGAATTCTAATCACATGTAAGTTATTTCTCTTGATGATGTCTCCTAATTCTTAAGGCTTTCTTTGGATTTCTTGTTCTTTTCTTTTTTCCTGATTGTTCTTCTAGCAGATTAGAAATGAGATTCATCTTTAGGCTCACTAATTTGACCTTCCATTGATTTACCATTTCAATTACGGTACTTACTCCTGAAATGGTAGCATTAATCTT